ATAGCTTGATGTGCTCAAAGAGTGATGGAGGAACACCAAACACCATTTCCGAGAAGGCAACTTGATCAACATGTAACTTTTCAATATCATCTACAGTTAGAGGAGCTGGACGAGCTTCATCCTCTCGCATGAGCTGAGCAGCTGCATCTCTTACAACTGTTCTTATGGGAACATGAGGGCCTTCTTTGACGGATCTCCAGATTTGTTCACCTTTCTCTTTGGCTAGTAAAAACCTTTCCATTCTAACTTTCCAATGATCATATTCTTCCACAACTAGCAATGGGGCACGTGTAGGGCCACCCACGCTATTTGCAATTTGCATTGAAATCATTTGCTGAGGATTTGAAGCAGCCATTGAAGTCAAGATATCTTCAAGCTTAAAGTGGTATATAGAAGAACTTTTATCCTTAACACAGAAATGGTTGAAATACCAGGGTAAATTCAAACCAACTATAATCTGATCTTATGGATTCAAAGGACAACCACTCAAGCTCTGATACCAATTGTGAGAACAAGATCTATGCGTAGGGACAAGGTTTGAGAACTCAAACCTTGAGTGAATGCTTGAGATCAATGTCTGCTTGATAATGGATGTTCAAGTCGAGACTGGAAAGACCAGTCAAGTCTTAGATGATCAGTTCAACAAATGATCAAGACATCAATTGAAAACAAGTAGATAATGATCAAGGTAAAGTTAATAAATGAAGAACAAGAAGAATGTTTTTAATATGATAAGAGTAAATGCCAAAAGTAAGTGAAAGATCCGTAGTTGACTTGTATTGAATGCTCCTATTTATAGGAGAGAATGTTACAACAAAGTAACCCAGATGTTTACATAGGACCGGAAAAAAGATATAAGTCTAACATTCTGATTGTCCTAAAGTAACTTTAGACTAAGTCCTATGAAACGTTACATCAAATACAAGACAAAAGTAATAAATGCACAATAGACAAAATGACCTCATTTCGGACAGGTATTGTTCCGGAGATGACAGTTTGATCCGAACCAGCATATATTTCGAACATCAGGATTAGCTCCGGAATGTGTTCCTCTTCAGAATACTCCTCCTCTTCTTTCCTCCAGCTCCGGACGGGTTCCAGATTACATTTTCCTTCGGAACCAACACACTTCGGAATATGTACTTAGGATTGCTAGAGGTTCACTTTCAGGTTCCAACAGTGTTTGTTTACATTTTTTTTATAAAAACGTGTTTGAATAATATTTTATATAATACGTGTTTGTATACATTTTATAAAATGTATACAAACACGATTTTATAAAATATATACAAACACGTATTATATAAAAAACAATTATACAAACAAGATTTTATAAAATGTATATAAACACGTATTATATAAAAAATTATTCAAACACGTTTTTATAAAAAAAATATAAACAAACACGATTTTATAAAAAACATATAGATACACACCTATATATATATATACATATATATATATATATATATATATATATATATATATATATATATATATATAAAGGTGATATATGTTTGTATACATTTTTTTGTAAAATACGTTTTTGTATACATTTTTTTATAAAAACGGATTTGTATATATTTATATACTTAATAAATACATTATTTTATAACTAGATATTTCATATACAAAACACTTTTTAAAAAAGTTCTTATATAGAAAATATAAGATTTTTATGTGAAAATACGTTTTTTTTGTATAAAAATGATTTTATAAAGAAAAAACATATTAGAAACAATTTTTGGAGAAAAAAAGTTGTAAAAAAAACTAACGTTAGGATGAATTCATAATAAAATTTTAAAATTTGGGCAAAAAGGGTAAAGTTTGGACCAAATTTGTAACAAAATTTAAAATCTGGGCCAAACGTGTGAATTTTGGACCAAATTTATAATAAACTTTGAAATCTGGGCCAAAAATGTAATTTTTGAAAGTTGGATGACCTGTTGACCGGGTCAAAGGGTTAAATTGAATACGATTACCGGTATTTGGGACTTAATTGAATAAAAAAAATATATAGTGACTAAATCGATTATGAGACCAATATGTAAGGACTTTATTGCAGTTTTCCCTATGATTTATTACCAAAATACCATGAGATATGTATAAATCTACTACACTTGTATAAAATATGATAGAGATAGAAAGGACCTTTTCATCCTCGTCATGATTTTCAAATCACTCAACTTATTTTTCAGAATTAGTTGAAATTGTAGCACATGTTCCACGTTCAAGTCGGATTTGATCAAGAGTTGTTGGACCTCCTTCAATTTCTTGGTTTCTAATTCATGTTTGACCTGCATAAAAATATAAGGCAATGTGTTATTGAAGTGTAATATAGAATGCGAAGATGTGGTCAATATGCACATCGTCATATATATAAAAAAATTAGAATAGGAACTAAAGAATTATCCTCAAACGTGCATCATCAATGGCTCGCAACTAGATGCCTTCAATATAGATATCCTGGCATTCACATTAGCATCATAAAAAAGCTCTCAAGTAGAAACTCAAAGTCATTATCTTCCTCATGATTTAAGAATCAATGTAATTTAATTATCATCCACCCATCTTCTCTCTATATTGCGAAATATGTATGTACGGTTTCCTTCCCCAGTTTGTACTTGAGGTTCACGTATGATAAAAACAATGACAATATTAGCCTTGGTCCAGTACGAGCCTAACACAATCCAGTAGTAAAACATGCCCAGTTTGGAGAGTGTACATGAGGAGCAATCAAAAGAATATCACGTGATTGGCTAAGAGGGAACGAGGCAGTTTTGACTGAAGAGAGAGAATGTTGCTATAATAATAATTAGTAGAGGAGATCTTCAATTATCTTTTCCAATGTTCATTTTTTACATTTTGTTAGCTTGGACAAGAAGCATTCCATCTTGGGAATTGTTTCTATGAAATCACTCTAGTTATTACAATCATTCAAGTAAGTTTCTTATGTTCAATATTCATTTGGTTACCGTTGTTTGTTATTTGAGTTCATAGTTCATAATTATCAAATTGGTTCCATTGTCAGGCTTGCACTTTGATGATATGTAGCTTCCTAGGGTGGTTGTTGGTGCGCTAATGATATCCTCTAATAGGGCCAATATACGGAGTTACACTACAAAATAGATATAATCTAGGTTAGACACTAGGTTAGGAAACACACTACCGGGGATAAGAGCTCGATATTGTTCTCCGATGCCTATGTTAAATATTAGACATGAGTGATTCTTACTTATTACTATATGTAAAGAGACTGTATCCCCCTTACCAATATGTATCAAAGTATTAATACATGGATGGTGGACGTTGGGTTATCGTTATTATCCGGGTGATGATGTCGCCTTGGGGTTGCAAGGGTAGTACCCTTTAATATAATAGTGAAGCTTTATCCATATTTCTCGGGATATTGCGTGGGTACTTGCTTGAGTATTTTATTAATATAGGATGTTGTTGTCTCGGGTGCGTAGTTGGCCCAGACTTTTGGAGATAACCGGCCTGGTTAATATTTTCTTATCGTGCCGGTTAAGCCTTTAAGATAAAGGTTGGTTCTTATCGGGCTTTGATAAATGGACTTTAGATGGTATTTAGTTTTTTGGGAAACGAATAGTTCATTGTAGGTTATACACATATGTACTTGCATGACCGCTCGAACGATTATTAGTATGTTAGGAATATACATTCCCACCCTTGTGACCCTATTAATATCCGTCACATCAGTTATTGCCTATTTTATCTCACATTTGCTTCATTTTTCTGTTGTTGCTCTGGTTTTTAGAAAGATTTGTTGATATTCTATGCCCGTTTTTCATTCTTCTATTTCTCGTGATCGATTAGCCAAAGTCTCTGAGAAGTATCATCTTATTGAAGAAGATTGTGCTCAAATTCTTGGTTCAGGTGCCACTATCGATTTTCCTCCTCCGGATAAGATAGGGTTCTATATCTATTATTTTGAAGCAGGTTTGTGGTTGCCCCTTTCACCTTAGATTTGTTTATTGAGACTTACAAGATTCATATGTGCCAACTGAAACCAAACTCTATCTCCAAACTGATATGCTTTCAGTTATTATGTCATGCCACCTTTGGTGTCCGACAATAGATTTGTTTCGATATCTCTTTTATATTTGTAGTAGCAGTGCCTGGTTTTACTTTCACTCTCAAGGAAAGAGTTTTATAGAAGATATCCCAAAATCTATAAAAAAAAACGAGTTCATTTGGCTTAACGCTTTGTGATTTGCTTTTCCCAACGTCTTTTATACATCAAGTACCATTAAGGACCAGATACCTAATAGGACGGCCAATCTCGATTAGGATATTTCCAAAATTTCCTTGCTAAGAGTGTGTCAACGAAAAAAATTTCCTAAGACAGTTTTAGGGCAAGTCGGCATGAATCCTCACTGGTATGTATGTGAATTGTGTTAGAAACAAAGGGTTTAGAATACCAATTAAATTAGACTTGGATAGATTCAAGGATCATGTTTATCAAACACTTTCCGAAATCTGTAATTCATCCCTTTTGTTTGGGGTACACGAATTTGGAAGTAGGATAATCCAAGAATGAACCAATCTGAATTACAGACCTAATTCAGATTGAGAAACACATAGTACCTGTTATTTGTGTTCTTGAGAGATAGATAATTATGATGTCATTTCGAGTATATCAATGTCCAACCTTTTTTTTTGAAAGTAGAGAAGAGTTCTTATACTTGACGGAAAAGTGGTTAAAATCGGTTAAACCAAAAATGGCGCCAAAACATTGTAGTTGGAACTAGGGTGCAAACGAGCCGAGCTGAGCCCGAGCTTGACCAAGCTCGAGCTCGGTTCGCTTAAAATTTGTATGGCTCGATCTCGAGCTCGGCTCGTTTTAAGCCCTAAATACAGAGCTTGAGATCGGCTCGTGAAGTAATACATAAGCTTGAGCACGACTCGTTTTGTCTAACTGATCCTAAACGAACTTAATCTTAGCTCGAGCTCGTTAAAAGCTTGTTTACAAATGAATTCCAGGAAAAAAAAAGAAGCACGAATTTACTTGATTTTTAGCAAGGTGCAACCTACTTAAATTCCAACCAAGATGCAAAAATAAAATCTTCAAATTACATAAGTTTTAAACACCAAAATACAACCTAAAATGTAATTAAATCATCCAAAAGAAAGTCTTCCTATCATGGAAGTTCAAATTACAAAAGTACTATAAAAATGATTAAATTTTAACATAACATATTATCAAAACTTCAAAGCCAGTCTTCCTCGAAGCAAATTCAATCTAGCAAAATTTGCAAATTAAAACACTTTATGAGATGTACAATATAATATAAGTAAACCAACAAGATTATCAAATGTACCATCAATTTTTTTCTTGAATCCATAACGATGTCTAATCCAATCTATTCAACAAATCAACTTTTGAACACTGTCCGGTGCCAATGAAGATCGGTATGGATCAATTACTCTACCCCCAACATTAAATGTTGCCTCAGATGCAACAGAAAAAACCAGGATCGCAAGCACATCCATAGCCATCTTCGATAAAACACGATACTTCAGTTTGTGAACATTCCACCACTTCAAATGTAACGCCCGTAGATCCGGGCTAGTCAATTTAGAGACAATGAGCATCAAAAATGAGTTTTTGATGGAAGATTATTTAGAAGGAATAGTCTTAATAAAAGTTGTAGCATATGTTACAAGGATTCCCTACATATAAAGAACACCGAAATCCGAGTTATAACGAAGAAGTTATGGCCCGTCGAAGTTTCACGACGGAACCGACACGGCACCGGGAGACGTAAATAGTGAATTTACGATAGAGAACTTTTTGGCCTTAGTAATCTAAACAAAAGTTGTAGTATACGTTAAACCGAGAACATACAAAAAAAATGAACGTCCAAATCTGACTTCGTATGAGTAAGTTATGATTTTTCTAAGATTTGGCTTAGCAGTGCACGACCCGAAACTCGAATTTTAGTTCGAGCGGTTTTTGGCCTACACGACCTAAATGAGAGTTGAAGATCTCATTAGTAGGAACTCAACGGTAGAAAGACAGACGAAAACGGAGTCCGTATGAAGGAGTTACGAATTTTTCGCGGTCATTTAACAGTCTAATCTCCTCATACTGTTACATTTAAGATCGGTCGAGAATTAGCCGACAAAGTCTAAATGAAAGTTGTAGATCTTGTTTTTACCTACGCGTGGAAAAAACGAACGTCAAAAACGGAGCTCGTATGCGAAAGTTACGGGGTTTAGAAGTCGGCAGGGTGCTGCTGCAAAAGGGGTGACGTGACACAATATAGGCCACACACGTGTGGCCACCAGAAAGTTGACATGTGGCATGGACTCGGCGAGTCAGTACTCCAACTCGGCGAGTCGAGCTGCCAGCCTCACTATAAATAGAGGTGCCGGGTTCCCTCATTTCCCATACCATTCAAACCATTCTCTCTCTCTCTCTCTCTCTCTCTCTACTTTCTCTCTCTAAGCCCCAAAACCCCCCTAAAGCCTAAGTAAACCCCCTAGAACCCGAAGGAAGCCCCGACGCTCCCGAAGCCCCGAGAAAAGAGCCTTTCGGCTTGGGAACGCTGCTCCAGCGAAGCCTGGTTTTCGAGAAAACCCGCTGTAAGTGAGCTACGCCTAACCTATCTCTAGTATAGCTTATGTTTTAATATAGTAATGTTATTAGAACCTTATAATAAGTATTTGGGCTATTATTATGAGTTATATAAGTTTCGTTATAATATATTTTTAACCACTCGCGGTACGGGGAATCTGGTGTGGAGGACCGCTTGGGTTGTTGGATTCAGAAGTGTTATACGCCAAAATGATCCTGCCCACTGGTGTTCCATGTCTGGCCCCTGTCTGTACATAGTGGGTGAAGAGTATCGTGTTAACCCTTATATAATAGTAATAATAGTTAGACTATTAATTAGTCTCGGTGAATAATAGACTAAACCCTAGTGATAATGATACTAGGTTTTGTCGAAGGAAATTGTTTTAAGAGTAACGAAATGTTGTCCGAGTGCCGAGTCACCTCCTAATCAGGTGACTGCATAGTCCCTTTCATCTTACACATAGATATGAAGTATTTTAATATAAATTACGTGCTATATGTGCATATTGTATTAATACTTGCTGTCTATGCTGGGTGAAAGATTTTTATACATGTTTTAAATGATTTAAACTGTACATGTATTTTATATCTACAAAATGTGTTGGGTAAAACATAGGTAGATGAAATAGTTGTTGTGTGATAATACGATGAAAGACCTCAATATTGACAGTGATCCAGTCATCTAGTGGAGTATAGATGACGACCACGGACTATACTAGACAGTCCAGTGGAACGCTAGCAGGCTCGTAACCTGTAGGTGTTTTTGAACTAGGTGCTCATTAGGTATTTTTTGAACTGAGTGTGTTCACTAGGTATCTTTCAACTGAGTGTGTTCACTAGGTATTTTAGAACTAAGTGTTCACCAGATGTTTTGGACTACGTGTTCACCAGTTGTAATCTATAAACCCTGGTAACGATGAACTTCGTGCCTATTCCTTAGGATGATCCTTAGGAATGAATTAACGAGGAATAGCCGATTCTTAGGGTAGATCCTTAAGAGTAAAGAATATAAGGGTGATGGGTAATTGGGTTGATGGTTTGATGTTTAAACATAATAATTATATTATTGTGGGTTGAAAACCCTATGTACTCACCAGGTTTCCCAACCTGGCCCACTCAAGCTTATTTGTATCACATGTGTCGATACGAGACTACTTTACATTGAGAGATTTAAAAGGGATGTAGATCACTAGTGTAAATAAATGTAAGTTATGTTTATGCTTATGTTTCTGTATTGACGATGACATCCCAAGGTTTTAAAAGAAATAAAAAACATTTCTTCGGAGATGCTTTGATTACACATTTATCATGTTTTTCTGGGAACAAATTCCGCAACATTTTTATTAAAAGAAGTACTCTGATTTTTATAAAGCATAAACAAAATTGGTCTTTTCTGACCGTGAAAATGGGGATGTCACATCAAAGCCTTGAATGAATTTGATCCTTTTTGTCCCTGGTCCCTCTAAACACCTTCTTCCAAATACATATATTTTCTGGTCTCTCTAAAACGATATTTTTTATAAACTCCCCAAAAGCCTCCCATCCTAACCCGAGTGATGTTGTTTTTGAAACAGCATGTCCTCCACATCCATTTGCAGGCGTTGTAGCTTCTCGAACTGATGCATCATGTATTTCCAAATACTCCTCGTACATTTCATAAAGTGCTATCTTCACTTCTTCAATGTTCTTTCCGAGATTAGAGTATATGGTTGGGAAACTAAATTCTACTAACTTCATTTTGAATCTTGGATCTAACACTGAAGCAAAAGCCATAACAAGATGACACTCCCCCCAATATTTGTCAAACTTCTCCTTCGTCTTAGTGAACATAGTCCTAATGAAATCATTTTTTGATAGAGCAACTTTATCCAAAGTTTCTTTTAGTCTAAACACCTCAATCAAATACAGATTGGATGTTGGATAATCACTTCCAAAAATGACATTTGTGCATACCTGAAAATAAGTTGTTTTAGTATTAGGCATGATAAAATATTTAAAAGAACACTTAAATAAAGGTAATATGCACCTTGAAAACCTTAAAGATTTCACATACGTTCTCCACATGTGCCCACTCCTCTTCGTTAGGAAGGTGATGGAAATGTGACTCGTGCTCCGCAAATCTATGAAAATCACAACAACTTAGTGATGTATAATATTTGAAAATATGAAAATCACAACATTCAAAACTATTTTTATTAAAATTTGATGTATACCTTGGGACATCAAGCAATAACTTTCTATCTTGTATTTGCAGTTGATGTGCAATATTTGAAAATGTTTAAAGTCTCGCCTTAGAATTGTTGATATATTTGATACCCTCACGAACTTCCCCGATAATAGAATCAATCATACCAAGACCATCTTTCACAAGAAGATTCAAAATGTGTGCACAACATCTAACATGAAACAACCTCCCACCATACGTGAGTTTTCTCACTCTAGAAAAAATTTCTTTCAGTCTTTGCAACGCCCTATCAATGTATGCAGAATTGTCTACAAATATCGTGAATATCTTGTCCTCAATTTCCCAATGCTTCAAACATTTATAAATACCATCAACAATATCAAGTCTGGTACGAGGAGGAGGAACATGTACAAAACTCAGGACATGTTTTTGCAATCTACAAAAGCAAGTCCAAATACCAATATGAATATATTAAATAAAATGGACAAGCCTTATTAAAAAATAGAAAAAGAAATCAAACTTCCAATTATGATCAATAAAGTGCCCTGTGGTAACCATGTACTTAATCTTCTGATGAGATGACTTCCAACAATCAGTGGTCAAACTGATTTTTGAGGCTGCTTTTGTAAGAGCTTTCAGTGTTTTTTTTTCTCATGCTCATATATCTTAAAACAATCTGATTTGGTTGAATTCCTACTTGTTTTCTCAAATAATGGAGTAGCTGTCTTCATCATATGCACGAATAAATCATCTTCCACAACAAAAAAAGGTTGCTCAGTACCCAACACCCAAGTAGCTATTGCTTCTCTCATTTTGTTACTATCATACTTTGCATCAGGCCTGATCAATGAATGAAGCTTCTCATGTCTTGCATCTCCATTAGACTTAATAAGTGGAAAATTCAATAAATTCTGCTTTTCTTCATAATCTTTATGTGGCTTGCATATAAGCAAGTGCCTTTTTAAAGTTGATGTAGTCCCGCTATCACCATAAGTTAACATTTTTTACAATGATTACACTGAGCTTTTTTTTTGGTACCATTAGATAGAGTCACTACAGTGAAACCGCCCCATGCCTTTGATGTTTTTTTTCATTTTCGTTTCATTACTATTTCCTCTTCTCCCGCATGGATTTCTGCATTTTGGCTTGGTATATGATTTTGAGGAGTTGGTTGTTCATCGGCATCTACATTTATTGGAGCAGATTGCTCCTTATTCCCAACCCCTTCCATTGGATCTGAACTCACATCACCATCCGTAATATCTGCAACATGGTTTATGAAAGAAAATTTGTCAAAATATGTACATTTAATAAGCATACTCAATTGATCAGCATTCAACAATAATTTTTCCTGATAAGGATCTTTAATTAATAAACAGTGAATAATATGAGTTATCTTTAGCAAAACGACAAATATGCAAACTTAAAACTAGAATTCATAATTCCAACAAGTAGAAATATATGAACCCATAACACAATCTCCTAAGAATCTAGACTTAACAATTAAAAGTAGTATTTCAATAAAACCAAGTCAATATATCCCAGGAGACAAACAATCAAAAAAATAGAAAAATAGAGATTGACAACAATCCCACATCCAAAACGATGGAGGTAAATATGTGAAACAGATGAGTGATAAACGATGGAAGCTATCTTCGACTCAGCAGAAAAAAACAAACACAAACAGATGTGATAACGGAAAACGAAATAGATGTGAGGCAGCAAAACGAAAGTGATCGACAAATAAGACTCAACAGAAAAAAACAGATGAGTGAACAATGAAAGTAACTTACATCAGAAGACGATGGAGGTTATCAGAGCTAAGGATGCCAGTGAAGATGAGTCGTCGGTGGTCGGACTGATAGACCGATGGTTCTCGATGTCGGCCAACAGGGTTCGAATGGAGGGCAGACGTCAATGGGAGATTGTCTTGTGGTGGTCTTCGTGGTGCGTGGTCGCCGGCTCGCCGCCGATAGGAATCGCAGAATAGAATTGAATCACAACAGAACAGGGGAGGGACGTGAGGAGTGGCAGTTCATTTTCTTTTGATTTGAAACTATGAATGAAACTCCCTCATACGGTCATACCCAAAACCTAATTCAATAATTTATTAATTTTCCAAATATCTATTTGAATATATAAAATATAAAAATAAAATATATAGTATATTTATATATAGGCTCGTTTAGGCTCGTGAGCCTAATCGATCTTTGTTACACAGGCTCGAGCTTGAGCTCGTTTAATAAACGAGCTTAAAATTAGGCTCGAGCTCAGCTCGGGCTCGATAAAAACTGATCTCGAGTCAAGCTTTTACCGAGTCGATCCCGAGTAGCTTGGCTCGTTTGCACCCCTAGTTGGAACCGATACCTACACAACCATAAGGTCATTAGTGTGTTTTTGGCGGTAATTTGTATGGTCGGAGTCATCAGTGGAACCACTGCCATGGGCTATGCCACTTGGACCCTGCTAGGGGCGCTGCCCCTAGACCCTGCCAAGGGGCTGCAACCCCTTGGAACCCTGTATCCATGAGCGCTACCCCTGGACCCCCGTATACCCGAGGTCACATTTATCACACCGAGTGTGCACCCTGCACCTCCAAACTCGATAAGTAAATGGTACACGGCCTATCTCATTATTAATAATAATTACACCAAAATATGTTGATAACACTAAAATCACCAACAAATTGTTCATGCTTTATTTGTTTGAGAAAAAGGTTTCTGTGGTATTGTAACACCGTAAATTTCCAAAACAATTTTTCATTTCAAAATCACATAATTCTCATAATGTATCTTACAAAAATCTCATTTATTAAATTTGCACTTCAAAATTTCACAATTTCTCGGTTAAAATCCAAGATCCTCAAAACGTAGCTCTTTCACTGGTGTGTGTACAATCAAGCCGGCGCCTTCCCGTGATCTTATGAGATACCTGAAACACATAATACATAACACGGTAAGCACGAAGCTTAGTGAGTTCCCCAAAATACCACATACACATACTAGCCACTCGAGGCTATAACTCTATAGGGCCCTCCAGCCCGTGTGTCTCAGTGGGACCCTCCAGTCCCATGAATCATTGGACCCTCCGGTCCGGTCTAGATGAAAGCCCTTCCGGTCTCACTGCTCGTTGGACCCTATGGTCCGGTCTAGTGAGGACCTTCCGGTCTCATGAATCGTTGGACCCTCTGGTCCGGTCTGGTGAGAACCCTTTGGTCTCGATATTTGTTGGACCCTCCGGTCCGGTCTAGGTATCACATAACATAACATACAACACATATATCACACAGAAAATGCATAACTCAAGCAAGCACATAAGACCCTCTGGTCACACATAGTTACCACTCTAGGTAAAGTATAGTGAGAAGACTCACCTGGCAAGCCAGCAGATGACAGTCTCGTACTCGGAAATCTCGAACTAGCCTCCGCCTATCACATAGGATAAATATCTCTAATTAATGCTCTATTAATACTCGCCTATTCCAAAGGCTACCCTCTTTCTCTGTCTAACTCTTGAAGTAGATAAAATACCATTTTACCCCTCCACGGTCTCCATCACTCATGTTGACAAGAACCCCAAAGTCAACAGAAGTCAAAATCAAGTCAATAGTCCATGTTTGACCTGACTCGTCGTGTGCACTCATGCAACTCGTCGAGTCCCCTCTTTTCCTCAGAAGTCTCCAGAAAGTCCAGCTCAGCTCGTCGAGTTGACCCCCAACTCGCCGAGTTATCACATGATCAAACTCATCGGGACAAACCCTAACCGACTCGTCGAGTCAGGCCATGGACTCGGTGAGTCCCTTCGATCAGATTCCTCATTCAAACGATTTAAGGTAGATCCATCACCCTAAACACTAGATCTACCATCCTAAGGGTCGATTGTCACATAAAACTACAAGCTTTACGTTTAAACATGGCATATAGGGCTCATAATGCCAATATAACTCTAACAAGGATGATTAACCACAATAACTCTTATATGGCTAAATAAAGCTATAATCTTTGGACTCTCTGGACCTCACAAAGTCCAGATCTGAAGTCTAGACTTCTTGGTAACTGATGTTACTCAAAAACCCAAACAAAAGACGGCAAAAAGCCCTAAATCTCCATAGATATGAGATCTATCCAAAATAAGAAGAAAGGTAAAGACTTCTTACCTTCCTCAGGAGCTCTGAACAGGAAATCACTGGATCCAACAGCCTCACCTCCAGCTCCTTGCTTGATAACCTCCTCCTCTTCCTAAAATGATGCACAAGAACCACAATATGAGCTTCTCTCTCACTCTCTAGCTCCAATAGCAATTAGGGTTTGCTCTCAGGGGAAGGTAGCCGTAAATGAGGCTATAAGTGCCTTTAAATAGGTCCCAAACCCGAGAAATTAGGGTTTCTCTGTCCAGCACCTACTCGGCGAGTCCCTCCTCTGACTCGTCGAGTCCATTCATTAAATCCACGCGAGCAACTTGACTCGACTCGGCGAGTTTGACCCTCAACTCGTCGAGTCTCTCCTTCAATCTCAAGATTAACATACACAATAATATCCCTGAAAATCCGGATGTTACAGGTATATTTTCTCATTCTCTCTGCTTGGCATGGTCCCAGGGTTTTTTTTGGAGAGGTTGTTTTTAAGAATTTCTTGACCTCTAATTGCTTTGTACAAATGATGCTCGATCTCCGTTTTGCTTGAGTTTTGTTGAGGGAAAGATATCCGCCAGGGATATTAGTTCTGATGAATTCGAGTTACAAATTATGGATGGCAGTATTGATAATGGTGAAGTAGAAGAGGGATATAACGACGACGGCAACGGTGGCGGTGACGACAATGACGAGTCTCAATCTTACATTCTTGTGCATCACTCCTATGATTCCGATGTAGACGACAGGGGTGGTTTCTCAACTGGTGGTGTATTGTGAACAAATATTGAAATTGATAAGCCTGATGTTGCTACTGACCATACACCGTTAACTACCCGAAAAAGGAGAGGGGCAAGAACTTATGTTGCTTTTGATGTGGCGATGACCGGTGGTGAAGGAACTAGTTCTGGTCGTGTCCTGAAGAGGTCCCGTTCCTTGGATCCCTCTAGATTTCAATCATTCACTAGCAGAGGTACGTAGGCCTCCTTCCTATGCGGATCGCTTGAACAATTATAGTTTAAACTTAGATTTGTTAGAAGGGTATAATAGTTAACTGATAAAAATAAAGATTTAAAATGATTATAGATGTTAAAAATAAGGATTTGGGAAAGTATGGTATTGTGAAAGTTTATTAAGGGTAAATATGATATTTAAAAATTAGATTAGACAAATATGATATTTTGATGTATAAAAATGGCATATACAAAAATTCTCATTTTTTTATTGCATTTAGGAGCATTGACGGCATGAAATAGACCCATGAACTTATGGGTATAGGATTTCAAACACACAAGTAATTCATGAAAATTAATATTAGTTCTGAACATAGTATGTGACCGAAATTTTCTTATGATATCGGTCGGAACTCAAGGCCACCTACAATAAGACCGGAAACAGTTCCTTCATAACTAATTAACTTCAAATCTATACTTAAATAATAGTTTGTGAGTACTTCATTTAAGTTGAATTTCCAGATCCTAACTTCCATCCATCCATCTGCCCTTGGTATTGGAGCTTCATTACTATCATGTAAATTCCTTGGGCTTGGTGATCTAAAAATAAATAATTTCATCATCTTTGTTTTCGAAATGGGGTAGATCTCTTACTTTCACTGGACAATGCAGCCCACGACATGTGTCCGAAAGCTTGAACACAAGGTAGCACACATAGTTTGTATCCCATGATAACATGCGACTTATAATCGTGCATTTGATACCAAATACTTGTTGTGGTAGAAGCTCAATCACCTCTGGAAATCTGCATATACATATATTATATCATGTGATTGCATGCTTCCCTTGACATGGAAAACCACTTAAAAAAACAAAACTGTTGTCGATCTTCTAGTGATACATCATTGGTATCTTATTCAAATACACAATAATAGCATTTGAAACTATCAAAAGTTGGTGTATCATGAGATATTGAACAAATATTTGGGTAGCCATAGCTAAACACATTAATTTCTATTAGAGCATCTCCAACTATACTTTATTTTTACGCTCTTTTTTAGAGTGTAAAATAGAGTTGAGTTTGAGCTTAACTCTATTTTACATTCTATAAATAGAGTGTAATGACAAAAATAAAGTAATGTTGGAGATGCACTTGTACGCATATATTAATGGGAAATGTAAAAAGGAAAAGTTTCTTGGCCAGAATGAGGAGACTTAATTAAGTTAGCCAGCTCAAAAAGAAAACCTGTATTGATCTGTTTGTTGTGTTTTAAAACATTCCACTTCCGAATAGTTGTGTAGAGCCGCCTTTGCTGAAACCAGATGATGTTTCTTTCCATTCACATTGATCGATATCTGTAGGTCAAAGGTTTTCACAAAATTTATCACAAAAGCAAAAGGAAAATTTTCATCCTACAGATAACTTTTGTTATTAAAAAAAGGACCTTTTCACCACCATCATCGTTTCTGGAAAAAAAATTAGTAATCGAAGTTGCCTGTCTAGTTCCCAGGCTACGGACACTTGATAGACTAGTTCGCAGGCTATAAATACTTGGCAGGCGAGTTGGCAGGCTATAGATACTTCGCAAGCGAGTTGTCAGGCCAATTGGTAGGAGAGTTCGGACCCAATCCACATATGAGTTTGATGTTAAGACTTCTTGAACATCCATTAGTCCCTCCAAATTTTCATGTTCCGCCTGCATAAAAATTGCAAGGCAATTAATAACATGTAAACTAGAATCTCCATACGTCTTTGTCTGCTTCAAAAACATAAATAAAGAATCTAGATTAGGAACCAGAGAGTATTTTCAAACTTACATTGCCAATGGCTCGAAATTCAATGCCTTGAACATATATGTTACTATCTCCACAGTAATATCGTGAGAAGCTCTCCAGTAAAAACTTAAAAACGATATGTCCCTTGTTATTCAAGAATCGGCATAACTCAATCATCATCCACTCGTTGTCTCTCCATGTTGCAAAATATGCATGTGAGGTTTCAGCCTTTTCGCTCCCATTTTTGTACTTTAGGTTCACATAAACAGGTTTAGTTGAAACTGTTCTTGGATCACAAAATTTGAAGACTAAATAAACCCCATAAACGACATGGGGAGATAAACGATGGGGAGCTTTTGTCTTGATTTTGACATTTAGATTCATAATATCCAACATCTGTGCTACCACTCTAAACCTGCACATGTTTTAAAATATTAGCCATGACCCCATTCCCCTGTGTACTGGTTCTACTTTAAATTTAATATCTTTTTGCAAAAATGGGGCTACATGTTCAAATATATGGTGTTTATGTAACGATATCTATGATTTGTTGAACTATGTGGAGTCTAATGAATTCACACATCATCATCATATTCTTAGACAACTATACTATTTTCTTTTTCATACAATGCACTTAACTTTATAAAAGTTTGATTGAATACTTTTTTTTTAAATTAAAGAAAATATATTTTTTTCAATTGAAAATTTTAATGATCATTAACGCCAACATAGCATCCCACTATGATGGAGTTTAACCAATTAAATGTTAATTAATCATTTCATCGTATTCAACCACTCCATTAAACTATACTGTGCCGATGATGTATCATATATTTCTTCTATTTCTTTAATGATGAAGTTACAAATAGGCTATGAACTAATATTGTTAATAAAGTATGCTGCTCAAAAAACTCTGTAAATAGTGTTTTTATGTGTTTGGTTCCCATATCATGAGAGTGTGGGTGGGAGTTTATTTAGAAGCACCATTTAATTAAAACACATCTAATAAAACTGTGTGCTGCTAAAAAACCTCCAATAATAGAGCATGTGTGTGGGGTTGGGGGGGGGGGGGGGTGTTGTCCACCACTAGGTCTAGACTACAGGTGAGGGTTCATTTAAGATGATCCATGTTTATATGCATGTATGAACAAACATGCATAGAGAAAGAGCGTAGAACCTTGATTCTGGAACTGATCGCCATCTATATCGACAATGGTTAATGTATGAAAATGTTTTTGCTGATATCATTTCATTTCTTTCTCCATTGCAGTCTAGTGCAAACAACTGTTATACAAAACAAAACAAATAAGCCCAAATTCTGTTACATGTAAATGTATGTATGATTTGCACTATCCCTCACAATAATTGATTATATCCAAGATACTTTGTAAGAAAAGATTCATTATTTAGTTATGCAAGCAGCACTGAACAATCATGAGCAAGGGTAGTTGAGTTCTAAAGTTAGAGGACATTTTGGTAATTCCAGATATGTTCAAGTGAAAAGGCTGAGTGAAATTAAACAAACCAACAAATTGAAAACACTACCGTTTTTATAAATTACAAATTTGGACCCGCCCCCTAAAAATACCCTTTTTTTTCCTCCCACCAGTATAATCCTAGTTAAATTACCTTGTTTGTCCCCAAATCCTGCTTTTAAATCCCCATTAATCATTACATATGACACTAATAATCCCAAGTTTAGGGTTACTCTATATTTAATATTCTATTTTACAAATTAAAAATGATTAAATTTAAAGTATTTATTTTGAGGTCCATGGAGTATTTGGGATGGCTGCCTGAAGGGTGGAAATCATATCCAAAAGACAAAATGAACCACCACTAAAACTCATAGAGACTAAATTTATAATTTACCTAAATTTAAAATAGAAAAAGGTGAAAATGAATTAATGTAGATAACATATAGAAGTACTTAAATATGAGAACAAATTACCACTTTGTCTTCTTCAAGAAGGATTCCGTTGCACAGCATGTTATAGAGGTCCTTTTCTCTCTCAGTAGAGATATCTGGAGAGTTTGACATCTGGAATATTTTTTTATAGTTCTTGGGCAATCTGGGCTTCCATATTTCATAATCCTCCTGTATGTATATCCGTTAAAAAATAAAAAACTCTGTACCACACGCTTATCTGCACTTTCTGAACGCAACTGTTTGATTTAGATAAATTCTGTTTATTCCTTACTAATTTCAAAAGCAAATTTAAAATATTATCATCCTTATTTATTAAAAATATTTTCTCTTTGTTTACTATTAAGGGGAAGCAGTAGTTTAATACTTGACCAAGATTGTACAATTAAACTTTTCATTTAGTTTTACCTTCCATAATATCGCATATTTTCGATGAACATTATTATTCTAGGAAATTACATTAAAATCTTACTTGGAATTCCAATGCTTTCTTAAGTTGTTGTAGCACTTCATATGTTGTGGGTCGTTCTTCTCTCTTGCGATGTAAGCATTTAAGGGCTATGCTTTGAAATGCATTCAATGACTTTGGAGCAATTTCGTCCTTTATGCCTTCAAAAACTAACTCATCAAGTTTTCCCTCATTATGGTTGTCCTCAACCAATTGAGATAGATAGGAGTCCTTACGAGCATCATACCCCAATCTCCCACACAATATCTCAAACAAAACAATGCCAAGTGAATATACATCAGATTCTTTAGTTAAGCAATGTGATACCTCGTATAGTGGGTCAACATAGCCGTGCGTGCCACAAGCCTTATCAATGACAGAGTCTATATCCTCATTTATTGGGATAATTAAGGAAATCCTAAAATCACTGATCTTTGCTTTCCAATCATCAGTTAGCAGAACGTTGGAGCTATTGATATCTCTATGTATCACCAACTTATGTGTTGCTTCGCCCCCATGAAGAAAATCCAACCCACTTGAAATATCAATGCATATTTCCAGCCGTTTCATCCACGTAAGACCACTGTCACTCAGATGCTTGTCAAGACTTTGTCTGGACGCATACTCATAAACAAGGATTTTTTCATTCATTTTCTTGCAATAGCCTACAAGACCAATGATGTTCTCGTGTTTATTGTTCATAAGAACTTTAAGCTCGTTAGAAAATTGTGGTTCTCCATGACCATGCTTCATATCCAAATGCTTTGCAGCAATAGTATTACGTCCATTAGCATGTGTAACTTCTCCTTTGTAGAGGTTCCCAAATCTTCCTCTTCCAATGAGATTGTTGTCACTGAAGTTATGTGTGGCCAATTCTATGTCCTTAAGTAGGAATTTTTTGTAGTCTGAGGGGTTTTCCTGTAAATCATCAAATATTCGGTCAAATGAGAGGTCATGGGTTCAAGTCTCACTAGGAGACATAGGTGGTGTTTAGGATTAGATTACGAGTAGGATAGTTTGCCGTTTCAAAATAATAATAATAATAATAATAATAATAATAATAATAATAATAAACATTGATTATATATAGTTTTAATATATACTTACTTGCAAAGACAATGCTTCCTCAAGTTTCTTGACAATTTCTTCTGCTGATGGACGTCGGGCTTGAGTTTCTGCCACACATTTATATGCAATTTCTGAAAATACATCCAAGGAATCTAGATAGGGTCTTTTATTTAGAGTGGAAATGTTTTCATCAGTTTCTTCCATTAACCAAGGATCTACCATTTCCTCTATTGTTTCATTATGGAATCGTTGTTGTGCAACTGTTGCAATCCCTTTTGTATTTTTCTTGGTGTAAATTGAATCATAGGCAAGCCTCCCGGACAGGATTTCAAATAAAATGACCCCAAAAGAATAAATATCTGATTGTTTATTCGACGGGTGATATTCTGGATCCATGTACACCTGTGTGTGTACAATACCTTTCTTATCCATAGTGCTTGGTTTTTGATTCTTGTGGCAGAACTTGGAGAGCCCCAAATCAGCAATTTTCGCCTGCCAATTCTCAGTAAAAAAAATGCTACCGCTTGTTATGTGACCGTGTATTATACTTGGTTTGTTCTCCACCGGTCTGTGAAGGTATATCAACCCACGAGCAATATCAATGCAGATCTTCAAACGTTGCACCCAAGTAAGATTACCCAAGTAACCAATGTTTCCCAAATAATCACGGAGGCTTCCTTTAGAAGCATGCTCATAAACAAGTACTATATTAGTACCTTCCTCACAAAAGCCAAGAAGAGAGACAATGTTGGGATGCTTATAAGTAGTAAGCATTCGAATGTCTGCAAGGAACCCTTGTTGTTTGTCCTTTCTAACCAATATGCGTCTTATAACTACAGTGCTGCAACTTTTCCTGGGGCTTTCATCTCTAGTCTTTTCTTGTAATGAAAAAAAATAATTGCTATCAAAATGGTCAAGTGCTGCTGTGTACACCTTACCAAATGCGTCTGACCCAGTGAGGTGTGTTATAGCAAAATCCTGGGTGGCCGACTGTATATCAATGAATGAGATCGGCAAGCGTTTCAAATTTGTCTCCTGCAACAATAATGCACTTATATTAATAAGAGAGTTACAACATATATATGTTAGTAAGGATGACAAAGAAGGTAAACAAGTTCAAGTTATCAAGTCATTTGTAATTTTTGTGTTCATGTAGAAGATAAATATCCAAAATATACAAGACATAAAAGAAACATCATTAATTTTTTTTCGATTGAGTTAACCGTCTTAATATGGGACTTCCAAATTAGAAAATGAAAGTAAGGGCTTTAATTGGTAAATAATGGTGAACTAATTAATTAAATGGTTCCTACCTCTTACTCTTAAAGATTAAAGCTTAAAAGAGGTAAGATTGTTTAAGCATCAGTTCCAAGGCCATGATTAATTCAGAAGTTGTACCAAACGCACAGGATGGTTACTGATTCAGATGTAACAACTGAATATTTTCATTCGAATGTTACCAAAGAGTTGAAAATGTATTCCAAAAAAGATTAGGGACATTACAACATTAATTGTAGCAAACACCTTGTTAAAGTTGAAAGTGAATGTATAAACACACTTAAATTTTAAGTAATTTTTATCACTTGAACGTTATACTTTTTTCAAAATAATCCATGTCGACCTAATTCACGATTTTAGGTTCTACCGGCCAACAAATTCAACCGCTTAACTAGGAACCAGTCACTGGTTAGGTAGCTCTTAAAAACCGGTTATACATAGCCAGTGAAATTTAACCGGTTAAACTTTATAATTGGGCGAGAGGATGATAGCAAGCCCAGTTGGTTAATGGTTTGAAACATAAAGTCCTTGAGTAATACTAGAATATGGCTTACCTCACGTTTTGGCTTTTATAAACTAAACAAACTAGGATAGTTTCTTACAAGGAGCAATATTGTGGGAGCGGAGGGACTAATATTTCATTTTTTTTACTCATTTAAAAACAGATCGAATATCTTTCGATCCCTTTCACCCACTTATCAAATATGAGATTTCTTAATTAATGACTACACCTTTGCTTTTCTTAAACCCAGTCATTAATAAGAAAACACCATAGCAACTTTGCTTTTCGTAAACCCACTCACAAATAAAAGCTATATAACACAATATTGTTGGAACTTGGAAGTTGAAAGTTATAGCTTTTATTTGTATAGAAGCTTTTGGAAAAATACCTGAAAGCTTGTAAAAATATAAAATTACATGATGTCTATGTTTGAAACTTTACGATATATGTAGAAGTACAAAAGTTTCTTAATCTTTTACGCCCTAGAAAAAAGTAAAACAAATTGATGTTTTTGAGTTTCAATAAAGGAAAGAAGTGGAAAGTTCACTTTCCCCCCTAACTTTCTTTCCAAATATTTGGAAGTTTTTGAAGAGAACGTAACAAAATGTTTAATTTTCTTTTCATTTCTTTTCAATCCGATAACACAAAATACAAATTTCTTTTTGCTTTCCTTTATCTTCTTATCTCTCCTTACATTCTTTCCCCTTTATTTATTTATTTATTTATTTATTTATTTTTGCTAAAACTCAAGAATTAGGCGTTAAGGGCATGTGATGGATATTATCCAAAATGTCTAAAACTATTAGATGTATTTCATTATAACTTTTCTATAGTTTGATAAATCAATAAAATTAATATTTAAATATATTAGTAATACAAATCTGTATAAAGTTCAAGTCTATCGGTTGTGTATTTCAAATTAACATCATAAATACCACAGTTACCTTAAAATAAAAACGAAGCAACATTAAGTTATTTTTGTAGATATTTACTTACTTGCAAGCATAATACGTCTTCAAGTTTCTTGATGATGTGTTTCGCTGTTGGACGTTTAGCTTGTGTATCTTCCAGGCACCGATATGCAACTTTAAAAAATGCATGTAAGGAACATTGTTTGGGTCGTGTAGATATAGTGGAGCTATTTTCATGGGTAGTTTCCCATAATCTATGATCTACCATATCACTCATTGTTCCTTCTTTTAAGCGTCGATGTGCCACGTGTGCAATCCCTCTAGGATGCTCCTTGGTGTAAACTGGATCATAGGCAAGTGTGCCAGACAAGATCTCAAATAAAACAACTCCGAATGAATAAATATCTGTTGCAGTTGTTAGCTTACCCTCTTTCTCATATTCTGGATCCAAATACACTTCTGTACCAGCAATATGGATTGTATGGAGACTATTCTCTTTTGTATTCTCGGGGCCAAATTTGGAGAGCCCAAAATCAGCAATCTTTGCCTCCCAATTCTCATTTAACAAAATGTTACCGCTTTTTATGTCACGGTGTATTATCCTTGCTTTTTTCCCTGCCTTGATGTGAAGATATTTCAGTCCGTGTGCAATATCAATGCACATCTTTACACGTTGCACCCAATTAAGATTAAGAAAGTTATCGGTGCTTCCCAAATACCTATCAAGGCTTCCTCTGGAAACGTACTCATACACGAGTATAATATGACGGTCCTTACAAAAGCCAAGAAGAGAGACTATGTTCTGATGATGACAACAAGTAAGCATTTTAATCTCTGCATGGAACCCTTCTTCTCCTTGCTTATCTTTTCTAATTTTTATACGTTTTATAGCTACAGTGCTGCGTTTCTTTGGAGGTACTCCACCTTTCTTCTTCTTCTCTAATGACAAGAATACTTTTCTATCAAAATGATCGAGTTCTGCTCTGTATACATCACCATATGTGCCTTCGCCAATGACTGTCTGAGTGAACTTCTTAGTAGCCAATTTAATATCTTTAAGTGGGATCTCTAGGTGTTTCAATTCGTTTCCCTGCAAAATTGTGCCCAAGTTAAAAGAGTTTTGTAGCCAATGTATTCTAGTAGGATATATAAGAAATAACTACAATGGAAAAAATTTACTCGAAAACAGTAGGTAGGTTTTTTTATTAGAATTAAGTATCATTAACTGGGACTTCCAAATTAGGGTATCAAGAGTACTCCATGCCACCATATAAAAGTGATTTCACCTTATCACCACATCCACACAAGGGTATTCACCAATTCACATCATCAAAAACAAAAAATTTTAAGTTTTAGTTATCAAATAAATTAAACAATAAATGAAGCTTATAAAAAATACTAAATTTAATAAAAAAAATAGGTTACATTAATTTTTATAAAAGAAAAACTACATAAAATTAACATAAATCTGGAAAAAACAATCACATCTCCTTACATTTTTTGTCGATTCGTCTTTTCCGTGGTGGAGTATTTGGATTTTGTTCCATTGGGGGAGCGTATAGAAAACACTAATTGGAAGGTAATTTAGTGTGTGTAATAAATAAGGAAAATAATGGTGTGTATAAATATAGGTGAAATTATATGTATTTATAGGTAAATTTTATAATGATTTTAATTTTTTTTTTTGTTCTTAGCCGTTGAGCAGTCGAAAAGCCAAACAACCCCTCTTTATCTTGCATTGCTCATTGTTTCAATTTTCATGGGAGACCACACAACGTCCCACCATATAACCACCAAGATGGTGTATACGTCTTGTGGGTCCAAGCAGAAACTCTATTTCCCTGTCGTATATAGTCTCTAGGATTTGTGATTCAATTTTTTTCATCACCATTATTGTCGACCACACACTTTCCTCCATCACTTTAGATATATGTATGTTTCTTCACCTTACTCTAGCTATCCCAATACACCATCACCTCTTCCATCTCTCTGTACCCAAGAATGGAGCGACCATATCCAATATTCTTTCTCGTATTAATTTTTACTAACGCTTCAAAATACCCTCACTATCGGTCTATGTTATCAGCACGACCTCCTTCCACAAAACAAAATCTTACAATTATGCCTAAATTGTTGTCCTCATTCGTCTCCGATATCACTTATCATCATCGCCTTCATCCATCATGCCCTTATACAACCACGACTTACCATTTTCATGTCTCCCATTTTCTTGGTTTTTATCTCTATTAGATAACTGAAAAGATGAAAACCTAGTATGAAATTCAACCTAGGGAGCTTTGATGTAAGTTTTACAATAACAATTCATATTTTGTTTTTGAAGCTATTTGTTAGAGTATCTTCTCTTTCTCTTTCTCTTTATCTTTTTACATGATTGCTTCCATCTTTACAATAGTGAAGCAAAAAAACCCCAATTTTATGCGAATAACGTCTCCCCTTCTTACTCCCACCATCCACTTTTTCTTCTTCTTCAAAGCTCATCGTGTTTCCTCTCTCCTTTACTTTCACAGAATAATCCTTCAAATTAAAGAAAAGAGCTCTTATAGATTACAAGGGTGGATAACTTCCTTCCTTGCCACCTCCAAAAGACACCTTCTATCGTGTTAAATGTGACCTGAGTACTGATGACCCAGATAGATGTCAGCCTGCCTGAGCAATGTTAAGAAATCCAAAACCCAATATAAGGGTGGATAACTTCCTTCCTTGCCACCTCCAAAAGACACCTTCTATCGTGTTAAATGTGACCTGAGTACTGATGACCCAGATAGATGTCAGCCTGCCTGAGCAATGTTAAGAAATCCAAAACCCAATATCTAAGTGTTTGGGGTAGGTATAGTTATGTGTTGATTAGTGTACGTAGTTAGGTCCGATCCTGCTTTAGTTAGGGTTACCTTTTGTCTTTTTCCTATATTATAAGAATGATAGCTAGGGTTTCAGTTATACAATCGTTTTCAAGTTTGTGTATAAGAATACTCTTTCCTTCCCTATGGACTCAACATCGGCCCAAAGGGTCTTCTGGTCGGCCATATAAGGCCCCATAAAAACTAGGGGCCCAATTTTCATCTCATTTCCTGGTAAAAATGTTTTATTTAAAAAATGTTTAAAAGTATTAATTAAAAACCATCAAGTTTTGTTCAGTATAGGAATAGAGCTGACCTTAATTAGGAAAACTATCTAGGTTCGAATCTTATTATATTACATTTCAATAAGTTTTTTGTTGTACTATAAATTTTTTATACAAAACATGTTACAAACAAGAGTTCATGTGAGTTGCTTTGCATGCTCTCAAATATATTTTTGGAGTTCTCTATATAAATTTATATTCAAGGGGGGCTTTTTTATTCTTGAATCATGCCTATATTAACTCTAGACACCACTTTGTAGACAAAGTAGGTCGACGTATGCCACATTAACTGAATCGGGGTTAATTTCAATTGTGTCTTTATGTGTGGTATTTATTCTTGCTTATTCCCAAGATGTTGGTTTCTATTATTAAATCACAAGCTTTCTAATTTAAAACCCATCCGTCCAATGACGTTAGTATTGTTGTTGTAAGATACTTTTAAATAGAGAAAGATCGAACAAATCAGGAAGAAGAACATCGTGAGGAGTGCACGATTAAAGAAGCTAAACTGTATTCCTTTCTACACCTCATCACAAAAAATGACTATTGTTTGGTCGACTGAAGAAGAGATCTTACTCGCTCGTTCATGGATTGATGTAGCAGAAGACCCACACCACAATGACCACCCTTCGACTACTTTTTCAAGTAGAGTCGCCGACATATACAACTGCCAAACTCTTCAACCACGAAGAAAAGATCTACTCTACGTCAAATGGAGAAACGCACACGCACTTACAACTCGGTTTACCATTATGTTTCGTAGGGTGATGCGTGATGCTGAAAATGGTGATAACGAAAATGCTTTGCTACAGAATGTTCTTAAGGCTTACCGTGTTGAAACTGACAAAGATTTCACGATTGTTGAGTTTTGGCAAATTGCGAGGCAGAGCCTCAAATGATATCAAATTTGAAGTCTTTGTCTTCTAATTTTTAATGGGTTGTGTGTTTGAATTTCTAGTGTAATGTTTCTGAATTTGTAGTGTTCTTGTGATATTTTTAATTTCTATGTTTTTTTTGAATTTTTATGTTCTTTTCTGAATTTCTAATGTGATGTATTTTTTTTAATCTCTATGTTTTTTTAATGGAATTTAAGTTTTTAAAAAAAATAATATGTTTGCAATATTTATTTTCTAAATTAATTAAAGAAAATATATATTTAGCATGACAAGTGTGGCAACCAGCGCCTAGCAAATAACAAGTTTTGGCGAAAGTGTGGCAAAAATGATGTGGCACCTACGTGGACTGTGATAAGTGTGACACCATACCCACCAACCTTAGATCTTCCTTAAAATAACATTTTCATTTTACCTCTCTTAATTGTATTTTATATTTTTATATTTCTTGGGTTTTTAATTCTCTTTTCAAAAATACCAAATATATAAAAATCAATATTTCTATATAATATCTATATACTTGATAAAAAAATAATACAAATAAAAGACTGTGTTTAACAACACGGTATTATAGGCAGACTTTTTTTTTTCATTCAGTTGGTGCAATTTAAAACATTTTAAGTAGGAGAGAATGGTTAGATATTAGAGAAGGATTTAAAAATAGCTTGTGCAGTTGAAGGCAATTTCAAATTTTGTTGATTTATCAAACTAAATAAGCTTTGAAATTAAAGCAAAAGTTAAATGGAGTATTTAAGGGAATGAAAATAGTAAATATTTTCATTATGTTGTTAATTGACGTAGGGGACAGATGGCTATTTGTAGTGTGATGGTTAATGGTATTTGGAAGACTAAATCGATTGAAGTTAAACTTGAGTTTCAAAATCATTTCTCTTCTTGTTCTTCAAGTGAGGGGTGGGTGGTTCTCGGCCTACTCTTTCCTCGAATATTTTTAGTAGGCTTTAAGAGGAGCAGATTACTTTTTTATGCTTCTTTCTCTTGTGATGAGATAAAAAAGGCGACGTGGGACTATGAGAATGAAAAGGGTCTCGGACCCATTGGTTTTAGTTTCAGGTTTCTGAAGCAATATTTGGAGCTTATTAGACAACATGTGTTTAATCTGGTTTGGTATTTTCAAGATGTATCCCATATTCTTCAGGGGTGTAATCCTTCGTTCTTTTCCTTGATTCCAAAAGTGAATGATTCGAAATTCACTTCTAATTTTCACCCAATTAGCCTCATCGCGTCAATATAAGATTATCGGCTAACTTCTTGCTAATTCTTGCTATTGTCATTAATTCGGTTGTTAGTTCTGAGCAACCTACCTTCATAAAGGAGTAACAAGGTCTTGATGGTCCGGCTATAAGGAAGAAAATAATGGTGTTTAAGGTGGACTTCGGAAAAGTGTATGACTCCTTGATATGGGAGTATCTCTATGAGGCCATGGATAAAATGGGCTTCAATTTGAGACAACGCAAGTGGATTATGTGAGCTCTCTCTTTAGTTAAAGCCTTTGTTCTTCTTAATGGGGCTCCAACTAAGGGGTTCCTAAATGAGCAGGGTCTTAGACAAGGTGATTCTTTATCGAAATTTTTGTTTTTATTTATTTATTTATTTTATTTTTTTTGCTATGGAAAGATATCAAATTGGGTTGCTGGAGGCTAGTAGAGCTGACATTTTTAGAGGAGTGAGGGTTGGTTCGGGGGATTTAGAGCTTTCCCATCTTCTTTATGTGGATGATGCTATTATGTTTTGTGCCTAGAATTTGGAAAATGATCGTTGCATTGTTTATATGCTTAAGGTGTTTCAATTGGCTTTAGGATTGAAAATTAACTTGTTTAAAAGTAAGTTAATATGGATGGGTGTCAATTTTGATATGGTTAGTCACTATGCTACAATTATTTGATATAATTCCATTCATATTTCTTTTGTTTATTTTGGAGTATCTGTTGGTAGCAATATGAACTTAACTGGCTCCTGAAATCCCCGGTAGTTGATAATTTTTTTTCAAAATTATTAACTTGGAATCCAAAAATATTGTTGACTGGAGAAATATTGACTTTGCTCAAGGTGGTGATAGGAAGTCTTGCTAACTATTATATGCCCATTTTTAAGACTCCAGATGTTGGAACATTAAAAAAGTGATCCTTATGCAATCTGAGATGAAGACTTCCAAAATGAAGATTAAGTTTGAAGTGAAGATGTTTTCAAAGATGAAAACCTGTCCGAGATCTATGTTTGTTTAGAAGCATTTTGTGTCTGTAATGCATTAATTGTTGCAAGTACTATTTTGTATTGTTCTTATTGTTTTCTAGTATAGTACAAGAGACAATATCAACAACAATGGTTGTGTCAGTCTATTGATTATCAATTGTCTCTCAGTCTATGTGCACTTTATCTGATTTGTCTTTTAGTAACTCCTTGACTATTTAAGGAGTTGTCATCCTTTGTATCAAGACAGAGAAGTGTACACCTTTTTCACTCTAATCAAGAATCATTCAGTCAATTATTCTCTCTTACATTGTTCTTGTTCTTGAATGACTTTACGTTGTTCATACTTATTAGTATTCCATATTGAGCACTTTGTTGATTATATCTATTCCGAGAAAAGATTGGTTTACTAGACTTGACTGGATCATCATTACAAGCAATCATTGATCTTAAGTTAATTCAAGGTTTGAGTTCTCAAACCTTGTCCGTGAAAATCCTTGTATTCCCAATTGGTATTAGAGCCTAAGTGGTTGTCCTTTGAATCCATAAGAACATATTATAGTTGATTGAAGATTACCTTGGTATCTCAATCATTTCTGTATTGTAACACCCAAAAGCAGGTATGACCTTATAGCCCTTGAAGTATCTTGATATTGGTATAAGAGACCCTTAAGTATGTTGGGCGTACTTAAGAGTACGCTTAGCGTACTTGGTGAGGAGGAACACAGAGGAGCAGCACGTACGCTGGGCGTACGTGCCAGCATGTTCAAACCCTAAAAATCGGACTTGAGACCTATATAAACATCCTTAACTCCTTTGAACCTCACCTTTAACAGCCTCCTTCACCTTCAAACGTCCCTGAAAACCCTAATATCATTTGTGAGTGTAGCTTGAGCTTTAAGAGTGCATTGGTGGTTCTTTTAGTGTTCATCCAAGAAGAAGAAGTTGCCAAGGAAGCTTGGAGTGTCACTTGGCTTCAAGAATCTGATTATTGTCGACCTTGAGTAGCTTCTGGAGGTCTAAAGCTTGTACCATTTCATTTTAATCACTAGATCTAGCTAGGGTTTCTAGTCTTGTCCCTTTAGTTGATATTGGACCCTTTTCTTGTGAGTTAAGCAACTCCAGAGGAAGGAGATGACATATCTGAGGTCCCTTAGTCCTTTTCCAACATAAAAATGGAGTCTTGGTGGGATTTTTGACCTCATGCATGGGTTAAGAGCTTCAAAATGGTCTTTATGAGGGTGTTGGGATCATATGGGACATGCAAAGGCATAAAGTTCCCAACTTTATGCCTTGGGTCGTCTTAATAGGCCTAGATCTGACTTCTGGACGTAAAAGAATCGAGCATTACGCACTTAATGGAAAAAGTGCTTAATCTGTTAGTACGCCGGGCGTAGATCTGCGTACGCCGCGCGTAAGTCCCCGAGCCCCAATACGCTGCGCGTACCATGGTTTTACGCTGAGCGTACGCGTCGCAGACGGGCTTGGACATGTTTTGGGATTTTGGGCTTTTGGGCCTCACTTGGTTATTGGACTTGGATTACATTCTGTAAATTGTGGGCCATTTCATCTGTTATGGGCCTTGGATATATTGATTGGGCTTTAATGGGCCAAGAGGCCCATTAATGATATTAAGCTTAGACTTTGGGCCCATTAGCAAGGAAGGGATAATTGGGCCTCATGAAGGGGTTGGAGTTTGGGTTTCTTTTGACTAAGTAAGGTCTTGACATTAATTTATTATTATTATTCAGCACGGGAGGTTTTAGACTGTTAGGAGAGCAGCTTTTGTATTTCAGCGGACAGAGGTGAGTTTTCTCACCATACCTATGGGTCTAAGGCACCAAGGTCGGCTCATTATGTGATTATGGTATATGTGTTAGTCATTATGTGTTTTGATATGCTATGTGATTGTGTGTTCTGCATGGAAGACCCCGGGGGGAGCCGGAGGCATTGGGTGTAAGACCATGTGGGGTAGCCCATGGCATTGGATGTAAGACCATGTGGGGTAGCCCATGGCATTCTCTCAGGTTTTATGTATGCATAGCTTATATGATGT